ATATATATATATATAGTATACTAGTATTCCGAATTAATATATATTATTGATAAAGTTATGAAAAAAATATAACGTCATAAGTCCAGTATCGATTACCATGTCCCTCGCAATTTTATTTCGATAAAATGTATGAAACCGTAAATGTGAGCTCTGCAGTAACTTCTGGCCATCTAATTCATTGCAGCATTTGTTTTACTTGTTTCACCATGTGTTTTCCTACGAATAAACATGTGAAACGACACGCACGTAAACTTTATTCAGAGTTTACAATCCATTACTTTATTTTACTGCCAAGTTTATTTGTTGTTCAGTGCTTCGCTGACTTTAAGCGATATCAAGAGTTCCGGTATATTACTTTTTCACGCAATGACGATAAATTTCTCTCGAGTAACGTTACCAGTCGAACACTAACTATTAAATGTCCTGTACAAGTGCTTTAGGAAATGAAAATGCATTAAATTTTTTTTTTTTCTAACAATCAATTGCTTTTTCATCGTTTTTCTTTAATTTCACATTATGCCATTTTCAAAGATGATAAAAATTTATTTTTTATGTTACGTAATTTTTTCCTTTTTTTCCAAGTTCACAACACATCATGCTGGCCATTAAATATTTTCAAATTTCACATTACTCCATAAAATGTTGCTTTTACGTTCCAAAGCTCTAGTTTTACAAAACACGAGTCCCACAAACAAAAGCAATTTCCAGCATTTCCGCGTCAAAAACAAAACATTTTATTTAATCATCGAGAGTACGCTCAAGGCGACCAGATTGCACGTCCCATAATAATAACAACACGCGTGTGCAGCAGCAGCTCCGGAGGGACTCGTCACAAAGACTTTTCTTTCCGTGTCCGCGTAATTAATGCGCGAGCGGAAAGCTTTTGAAGCTCTATGTAGCGAGCTTTCGCTCAAAGGTGGACTCGTGTCGTGCTGAGTTATTTCGAACTGAAAATTTCCGCCACTCGCAGGTACAGCTCGAGCTAATTTCATCGACACCTGTAGCTTTTTATCTTCCTCGCGTAATCGCGGGCTCGGACGGACTTTTTTTCTCAAATAATTCACTGCGTGTGTGTGTTTTTTGTTTCAAACAGCACGGCACTCCTTGCTTTGGTCCTGGGTGATATTTTTTTTTATTTTTTAGTTTGCACAGAGTTATAGTTCTGCAGTTTGGTTTTTCTCGCGCACTTATTCAATGTTTCTCATCTCACTGGGGGCTGGAGTAATTATGTTACTCTGACGTGTGATTTTTCGGCGAGGAAGCGTTTTGTACAACGCCTTGCTAACTCTGAAATTTTTCTTTTTAATTCTGAATTTTATTGCAAGCCAAATTAGAGTTTCAGGGTAACGAGCGCAAATTTCAAACTAACGTGGTTATGAGATAAAAAAACAAAGGGGTAAAAAAAGTACTCTGCATTTTGATAGGACGCTCATACTCGAGCTCCGTAGAAAAGCAGAGCTTTGAAAAATCATGGATGTGTTAGTTAAAATTTTTGCCCTCGAAGCAAAATTGCGTGACTCGTTTACTCTGACACAGTGGCTTCCAAGCTGGAATTGCTGACTGGAGCGTTGAATCTGTTCATACCGTTAGCAGACGGACGTGAGTACTGGATTTTAATGAAATTTTTATTTTGTGAAAACGGAATGCATTTGGTTTTGTAGTGTTTTTTTTTTGTTTATTACGACAGTATAATTAGTATAGTTANTAAATTTTTAATGTATTCATTTTTATGCACTCACTAGAATAGTATTTAAATTATTGTAAACAAATAACTACAGTTATATTGGCTAAATTGATTTTACAAGTATAAATTGTAAAAGTTTTAGGCTCTTACAAGATTTTGCTGC